GGCCTGGGATCTTTACCAGCGCACTGGTCGTGGAAAGACCGTCAAGATTGAGTTTTGGACGGGAATGCCCACCATGTTTTCCGTTCCAAAGTATTCCGAGGTCCTGAACGCTTTGAGAATCCAGAGGGAGATTGACGCAAATTTTGGCCATAACTTGGTGTCCATTGACGCGGCCAACCGAAAAGCGACATTCAAAAAATCGGATGGAACTGAGGTTACGACCGATTACATGCTCCTACACGTGACACCTCCCCAAGGTCCTGCAGATTACATTAAAAAGTCGCCATTGGCTGATGCCGCTGGATGGGTCGATGTCGATTCGGGCACTCTGCAGCATAAGAAATGTATGTCTTGTCTCTTTCATACAATTTCTTTGGATTTAATTCTTTTCAGATTCCAACGTTTTCTCCCTGGGTGATGCCTCAAGTCTGCCCACCTCGAAAACGGCTGCCGCAATCACAGCTCAAGCACCTGTTCTTGTGAGGAATTTGGTCGATACAATGACTGGAAAAACTTCTCTAGTCGCGAAATACGACGGTTACACCAGTTGCCCAGTAAGTCCTGCGCACATTGCATTTATCAATTGACTGACAAATTTTGGTAGCTTTTGACCGGAAAAGGAGAATTACTGCTCGCTGAGTGTGTTTTGTTATGTAGTTATGGCGTCATGTATCACTCACACGGCCTAGATTCAAATATGGCCTGGAACCCAAAGAATCCTTTGCCAGTCTATTCAATCAAGGAAAACCTCAGAGGTAAACGACCCTCGTTATGTCAAAAAAACCTCCTGCTAACTATTTTTCAAAAGGGCTTTCTACCCACTCAAAACAGTAAGTGATCGGTTGGCGTTATGTTCGGTGAAATAACCGCCATCTCTTTCCAGACATTATTCCCGTGGGCGTACTTCAACTATATGCTCAAGGGAAAATGGTACGGGCCGTCTGGGATTTTCCCTCCAAGATTCTCCTAAGGTGTCGGAGCTGGAGATTTTCCGTGATAAAAGGACATGCCGTATGCACATAGAAGGCGATACAGTTTCCTCGTGTAGCCTGTGGGTGTTAATAGAAATCTGTTCTGATAAAAAGCGCTCGAGATGGCCATGACGGCCAGTCACCCATCTTTGGACCCCCTCTTGCATAACTATTTATCGGCGAGGCTACTAAGAACCCCTCCCCGACGTTATTTTAGCAGTGCAAATCCTTGTAATATAACTGCACATCTACGCTCGACAAAGCACCCTAGGCCTCAAACTACCAAACCTCCAACTTTTCGACGAACCGAAGTATGATACCAAAGCCCACTTCAGATATACCCATAGACGTATTGGGCGAAATATTTGTCGCACATGCGGAAAATGAGCAAGCAAATCGTAGAGAACAGGCGGCCCAATGTGACAGCTGTAAGCCCCTCAAGGCAGGACGAGTCCTCTCTCAAGTCTGTCGCCAATGGAGGCTCGCTACTCTCTGTACACCCTCGATGTGGCGTTTCGTCCACATCGACTTGAAGAGCTTCAGCCAAAGTGGATCATCTAGGGGTACCATGCTGATGCCGCAAGTTGTCCAACGGGCCATCGAGAAGTCCGGTGTCTGTCCACTGGAGCTGTCTTTCTCGAACCTAGGCTCTGATAATGCACTAGACATAATCGTCAATCTTCTAAGCAAAGGCAGCCACACAGCTGGACGCGTCGAGAGACTGGAAATCGGACTTGCAGGAGCCGCCTTCCTTCCTCTCCTTTCCGTACTCCAGCACTTTGACACGTCCAATCTCAAAGAGCTTGTGCTCTATCATACAGGATACTTCACCCTTCACGAGACTATCCCTCCGGAAGTACTGGTGACCTTGCAGCACACCCCCAATCTCTGGAACCTCTCACTTGGACGGATCCAGTGGGATGCTCCTACAGAGTTCGTGTTCCCCCATATCACCACACTCTCTGTGGACCTGGGGCACAAGAATGAAGCTCTTTTGCTGCGAACCCTCACATCCTTCCCAAACCTCTCGGCGTTAATTTTGCAATGCACTGATCATATCAAGCTCTCCGACTCATGGGAACCAATCCCCAAAGCCACACTTCCTTCTTTGAAGAGCATTACATTCGACCCTCGTATATGCCATTATTCCCTTCATCGCCTGGATGCGCCAGCGCTTAGTACCATAACAGCCAAGGGGTTCTCTCGCCTCTCCCCGCGGTTCCTTGCATATTTGCCACGTCCTACAGCCTTTTCAATTCTGCGTCTGGAAAGATTCAACCCAGAAGAGGACGCCAGATTGAAGAATACGGACTGCAGCCCTTGGACATACAAATCCCTTGAACAGCTCAAAGTAGAGTGGACGAGCAACTTTATGGAAGGCATTCCAGGGTTCGTGGCTTGTTTACGAAATCACCCAGAAATTTCGACGCTTGAGCTGGTCGACTGCACCATCGACGACAAGTACTTGTCCTGTTTGGCGGAAGACAAGAAGATGCTCCCCAACCTCACGAAATTGCTCCTCTCTAACTGTCCTCATGTATCTCGTACTAAGCGCTGGCGCATCCAGGCGACGCAGGGAAGAACGGCATATA